CATCAGTTTGTCCTTCTCCAGTGGACTATTCCTGTGGGCACACCAATGAAACTATCCTTCTGTGGCTCCCAGGGCATCTCTGGGGACCACGGCACGAAGGCTACTGCCCACGCCCTTAACCTCCCTTCCCTTTCATCTAGCTGTTTCTAATCCCACGTCCTCTCTATGAGGCTCCCTCTCTCGACACAGATTCTCTTTTCTCTTTATTAAGCTTTGTGTGCTGAAATTTAATTTATTTAAATCTATTCGAGAATTGCTAAGGAAGTATTTGTGTAATTGCCATGCAGGCCAAGAAGCGCGCTGCCGCCTGCCCTCTAGAAGCCCAGGTGTGGCCTCTTCCTCCTGCTGAAACCTCCTTCCTGCCCAGAGCTGGTCACGACCCTGAGCTTTATGGAAATAAATGCCTGTTTTTCTTAGCACACTGACCACTTATTAACACGTACACACCCTTGATAAAGTTTACTTTGCTTGGTTTTGAACTTGATGTAAGGAGATTATACTGTGTGTTCTCTTTTGTGTGTTTTGAACTTGATGTAAAGAGATTATACTGTGTGTTCTCTTCTGTGTGTTTTCCCTCCCTGGTGTGTTCTAGGAGCAGCTGATTTTCATGGCTGTGCAGCAGTGGTTCTCAAAGAGGGGTACCCACATCAGCACCTTGGGTGTCACCTGAGACCTTGCTAGACCTACAGGATTGGGAACTCTGGGTGTGGGGCCAACACTCCTAGGTGATCCTCATGTACTCTGAAGTTAGAGAATCTCTGCTGTTCATTCCACTTTTCCAGCCTACTGTTGATGGGTCTTTGGGGCACTTCCAGGCTTTTGCTCTGATGATCATAACCTCCAGGAACATCCTCATACAGTTTTCCCCAGGCGCGCGTGCATGAGATTTGGGGGTAGGATCTCAGCACTGTCTATTTTTATCTGTACTAATTAATGCCAAATGATTTTCTAAAGGGACTGGGTCCAAAAAGACAACAAAAGACCAACTCAATCCAGGTAAATGGGGACAATTTAATAACAGAGGCACTTTGCAACAGCATCCTGACAAAAAGCAATGATCTTGCTGAACCAAGAAAACTGTAGAGCAGAGATGGGCTGGCTGAGGATGTTATTCATATTTGCACACAAACTCTAATATTTTGTTAGCCAAAGTAGAAGCTACAGTTGTGAACATTTACAAGTATTTTTAAATGAACAGAGAAGTTGGACTACAAACTTTTTTTAAACAAGGTTAGTGTAATCCCCCTCCCCCACAAAAAAAAAAAAAAAAGAAAAACAGACTTTGGCCTTGACCATGACCTGTTTTGGCTGCAGTTCGTAATCAGACCTTCAAAATTTTGGAGTCCTCAAAGAACAACTTTGTACATCAACCTAATGTCCTGGGGTGCAACTGAACTTTTTGTAAACAAGTCCTCTCAATTTTTGTTGCTTTGTGTTCAAATCTGCTGGAAATCTTTAGTCAAAGTATTTAAACAATGAGTGCCAAGAATTCTGGGCTTTGAAGCTCTGGTGAATTGTAATTATTAGAAACAAGCCTTGCCACCGAAATTCACCCTTACAAAGGCAAGGGAGGACGTGAATAAATTAAGTGCTGAGAGCTCCAGTGGTGTACAAGGTCTAATCTTTAAATTCTGTGATTGTTTTTTTGGACTGTCTCAACATGAGGGAAGAAACTTTTGCTAAGATTCCTTGTTTTAATTGGAAAAATTTATATTCTGTATTGGAATGAAAATAAATGAAGAAGGTCTTCTATTTGCAGCATGAGAAATATTCAAAAGGATAAGAAACAAATTGTGGTAGGGGAGGGGATACGTTTTGGCTCATAAAAATATTTGTTGAAGAAAAGTAGCAAGGATGAGGCAAATTAGTGGAACTACAGAGATAACTGAGGTGGAATATTTACACGTTTCAACACACAAAAAACCCCAACTGAGCATGTCCTCCAGTGAATATTTTTCTGAGCTCACCTGGTACTTCAGAGCCTGTACGAAGAGACTTTTCTCTATTAAAATGCGGTCTACTGAGAAGAGTTAATGTCAGCAGATGTAATTTATACCCAAAGATGCAATGTTGGGTAAGATTGTATGCGATTTTCTCACAAAAGAAGGAATAATAAGAACATACTGAAGAAAAAGGCATTCTATGGAAACACGCCAGTGACACTTATAGGCCCACAACTATTAAAAGGCTAATTTGTCAGGCAATAACTATTTCAGAAAATGGTGATTTTAATTATCATTAGCAACTTGTCCTGCTTTCAAAAACATCCCAGTTTGAACAGTGACTGTTCAAACTTACATATAGGGTGCAACTGAATTTTCTGTAAACAAGACCTCTAAATTTTTGTTGCATTGTGTTCAAATCTGCTAGAAACCTTTAATCGAAGTATTCGATAAATGAGTGCCAAGAATTGTGAGCTTTGAAGCTCTAGTGAATTGCTATTTGAAACTTCTCCTTATATAGAATATACTCATTTATAAAGTTCAAAACCAGGCAAATTTTGGTAAGGGTGCATATGTATTAATAAGTAGTCACGGTGCTAAAAAGAACAGGCATTTATTTCCATAAAGCTCAGGGTCCTGACTAGTTCTGCACAGGAGGGAGCTTTTGGCAGGAGGAAGAGGCCACATGTGGGCTTCTACAGTGCAGGCGGCAGTGTGTCTTTTCAGAGACCTTGACTCAGGACTGAGCATCCATCCCCCTTCTCCAGGAAGGAAGCCGCTCTGGGCTTCTGAGGCCGGGAGGTTGCCTGGTTTTCCTTCTGCCCCTTTGGCCACTTTCTCAGCAGCTCCTGGGCTGGTTCCTGCCCAGGCTCACTCCTTTTTCCTGTTTATACTCTTTTCCTAGATGATTGCAGACAGTCATAGGCTTTAAATATTTTCCATCTATCAGTGGCTCCAGTGGACCTCTTTCTAGAACTTCAGGGTGACGTATCCCAAAGCCAGCCTGACATCCCACTGGGAGACGTCTAAAAGGTCTCTCAAGTTCAACAACTGCTGATCCCCCACCACGTCCCATAACCCAGTTCTCTCTCCATTGTTCCTGCTTCTGTTGATGTCATCTCCAGCCCTACAAAGCGTGGGGGCGGCCACAGTCCTTGCTTTTTCTCACACTTCAGATCCCTCTCAACAGCAAACCTGCCTTCAAACTACAGCAACAAAAATGGGGGCTTAACAAATAACAACAGAGGGTGTTAGTTAGCAGTGGCTCATACAGCCCAGATTTAATCAATGTGGACATTTTAACATCAGAGTCTTATCTTGCCTCAGTTCTGAACAAGCTCTCAGCTACTTTATCTTTTCAGAGACTGCTTATGCTCTGACTTCTCGGCAGCTGTTCAATACTTTCTTTGTGTAGTTTATCGCTGTTCTAGGCTCACAGGAGAGAAGGGAAGTGCAGGGCGTGAATTATGGCATCTTCTGGATCAGAAACCAAATACTCTCCTTCCGTTTTTCTTATTTTTTGAATTCTTTCAATTTTTAGTCCACTCTAGTTGTCTGGGCTGCCACAGTATGTCCTCTTGGAATTAAGGTGAAATACAAATAAACCACGTTTCTTCAATTTCACATTTATCATTTCTGATGAGAGTGTCCCTTACACTCAAGGCCCCTGCCAATTTAAGGTTTATGGTGTCAATTACACCTGGAATCACAGCAGGACACTTCACACAGGTGCACAGCATCCAGGGACCTGGGCAGGGTCAACCCTGGCTCCGTGGGCAAAGACTGATAGGGTCACTCAAAGGAGTAGCCAGGAATTGTGTTAGGATTCCCCAATGTGTTTGGAAGAACTGGGTCACTTTTTGCTTTCTAAGTCAGTGACTTCAGGACTGATTGACTTAGGAGGACTCATGGAAGCAGTTTAAGGACACAGCCTTCCATCTTTCCTCTTGTTTTATACCCTAGAAGTTTTCAGCTGGTCACAAAAAGTACACGTTTTGGCACACGGTGGGAGCAAGTATCTTCTCCAGGTTCTGACACCCTCATGCCCCCATTCCCATATTTCAGAGAGAAAACTGTAGGTGTGCGCGAATCTAGCTGCCGCCAGCCTGCCTAAGGGGTGCAGGTAGTTGCCAGCAGCTTCAGCCTCCTTAAATACTGTGTCCTCAACAGACTGGCCCGGTGGGTGTATTTTCTTTCCAGCCATGCTCTGGCTTGGAATTGACGGCTCAGAAGCAGCTCAGCAAGGTCAAGCTGGAAAGGCAGCCACCTCACCAAACACTTCACACCATTTGACCCTGTAATTTCACTTCTTGGTATTTAACTTTGGGAACCCGGCAGAGAAAAGGGCTGGGATTTACATACAGGCAATGTTTATAAAAGTTTAGCATAGAAAAAAAAAAAAAAGACAAATCTATCAGAAGCGGCATGGTTAAATAAACTGTGATACGCGATTTCAGCGGAACACCAGCAGTAACTGCAAACCATGCTTTTGAACTATCTTTAGCAGACAAATACTCAAAATTCAATGTGCTATTAAGGTTTCAAAATAGTTAATAAGGCACGAAATTAATGTTTTGTAATAGAATATCAGAAAAATGGATGGAACTTCAGAAATATTACTATGTGCTCTTTTTGAGTATATTGTGGTTTGTTTTGAATTCTCTGACTTAAGATTTGCTACATAGGTTACATTAAATTAATACTCAAGTTACAACATCAAAGGAAAAGTTACAACACCTACAAAAAGACCTTTGCAAATAGCCTTGGGAAGAATCTCAGAGAAAGGAACACCTGATAAAATAACAGGAGCCACAGTCATCGCTGATTGGCTGCCGCGGAAGACGCGCCGCAGATTCCCGGGAGGCGGGGCTGCACTCGCCATTTCCGGGGCGGGACTTCGGCCGCCGCCGCACGCTCGGGAGCGGGCGGTCTCCATGGCAACCAGAGGGGCCCGCTCCAGGCCCGCCCGCCGCCACCACCCCGCCGGCCCCGCCCGCACAAAGGCCACACCGTGACCCGCCCTCCGCCGCGACCCCGGCCCCACAGGCCCTGCACCTGCCAAGGCCGCCTTCCGGGCCGAGCTGACCGGGAAGCAGTTGTCGGCCGCCGCTGCGGTGACTCATCGGCCTGGCCGCGTCCCCCGAGCGGGCCATCTTGGTCGCGGTTGGCGCGGCACACCGAGCCGCGGGGACCCCAGGTACGCGCACCCCCTACCCACCGCCTATTCTGGCTCCGTCACGGCGCCCAGCCTGCAGCCGCCCGGGGCAGCCGCCTTTGTTCTCCCCAGGTGGGCGCGGGGCGAGCGCCGCGGAGCCTGGTGCAGGCCTCGCCGCCCACGCGCGCCCCGCCGCGCCGCGTCCCCGCGGCCTCCCCTCCTGCCCGCAGTCGAAGCCTCACGAGGTATCTCCTTAATCTTTCAGGGCCCGGACGAGTCCACCTCCCGCCCAGCATCGTGGCCTGCCGTGGAGGAGCCGCGTTCCCTGGCGCGAGACCCCCCGGCCCGCCTCGGCCTGGGCCCCGGCTGCTCCTCTCTAGGCCCCTCTGCCCCTGCTCGTCGAGCGGAGCCGACCCGGGTCTCCGCTGGGCCCACCGCGGCTTCAGCCTCCCAGGTTCTGGTTACACAGCCCCCACCTTCACCCACCCGTCGGTCTCAGCCTAGGGCTGACCTCTGGCCATCATGGTCCAGCCGCAGACATCCAAGGCCGAAAGCCCGGCCTCGGCCGCTTCCAGCGCCCAGATGGACGACGTTATTGACACGCTGACCTCCCTGCGCCTCACCAACTCCGCGCTGCGGCGGGAGGCCTCTACCCTGCGGGCTGAGAAGGCCAACCTCACCAACATGCTGGAGAGCGTGATGGCCGAGCTGACCTTGCTGCGCACTAGGGCGCGGATCCCGGGGGCCCTGCAAATCACCCCGCCCATCTCTGCCATTACCTCGAATGGGACTCGACCCATGACCACCCCACCGACCTCTCTGCCCGAGCCGTTCTCCGGAGACCCGGGTCAGCTGGCAGGGTTTCTGATGCAGATGGACAGGTTCATGATCTTCCAGGCCTCCCGCTTTCCGGGCGAGGCCGAGCGAGTGGCCTTCCTTGTGTCCCGACTGACGGGGGAGGCTGAGAAGTGGGCTATTCCCCATATGCAACCTGACAGCCCCTTGCGAAACAACTACCAGGGGTTCCTGGCAGAGTTGCGGAGAACCTACAAGTCTCCGCTCAGGCATGCTCGGCGCGCCCAGATCAGGAAGACTTCTGCCTCTAACAGGGCTGTGCGGGAACGGCAGATGCTCTGCCGCCAACTGGCCGCAGCGGGCACCGGGCCCTGCCCTGTGCATCCAGCCTCAAATGGGACGAGTCCAGCACCGGCCTTGCCCACCCGAGCGCGGAACCTTTGAGAATCCCCACTACGTTGGCGGCATATGCAGCCATCCAGGTAGCATAAGGTCTTTGCTGCGTAGAAGAAATGTCCGTAAAACAGCATCGCCCCTGTTTGAAGACATCCCCTCCCACCTCTCCAGACCTATAACATAAGGAGATCTTCCTTTATCCCTTTTGGGTGCCCTGCTTACCCACCTTGCCGCGTTTCTTATTATGATGTGCCAGCTTTGTGCCCACAACTCATTGCATGCTTCCTCTCCTCTGGCTTGCACCCCTCGCTGTTCTAATGACTGCAGCTCTGCTACTCTGGCACACCTGACTTCACTGCTGATGGACCACTCCCAGCCTGACTAGGTTCCTGGAGGCTGCTACTCTGCCCTCTGCAAGCCCCAGGGCAGCGTCCTACCTGGTTGCCCTGTTCTCACGGATGAGTTCTGGACAGAAAGAAGCTGATTTGGTCAGGCCAGTGGCTTGATGGGTGTACTTGGAGAGGGGAGTCTGGCTTTCCACTCACAGGTGATCAGCCACCAGCCCTGCCAGGGCCCAGTGTATCAGGCAGGGGTCTCATCCTTGCTGTCAGCGTCACTGCTAGGAATGTAGTGGGGAACAAGCTTTACTCTGCATATGTCCCATTGCTGTTCTGGGAAAAACTGATAACTGCAGCTAAAGGTGGAGTCCTCCAGAGGACACACCTCCCTGACACCTGGCTTAGCTGCCAGGGTTCTGATAACACCAGGGTTTGGGGGAGCCTGGAAGTTGCCTGCTAATAAGGTTGTTGTGGACTTCGGACCACTGGGCAGTTTCAGGCTGCCACAGGCAGCAGGTCCATGCGTGTCCACACGAGGCCCACTGCAGGCTGTGGGGAGGTACCAGTAACTCAGTCTCTGCTGCCCGGGATCTCCAGTGGACAGTACCACAGCTGCTGGTATTCAGTTACTCTCCCCCTGCTATACCCACACCCTGGGTCATTTGGTTTGGGGCCTTGCCTATTTGAAACCTGTTCCCTTTTCCATTCAGGTGCCACATGGCCTTCAATGCAGACTCTTCAGCTGCTAATACCATCTCTAGGTCTCCCAAGTGGCCACGTGGCATGCCCTCCCCAGATGTCCAGCCTTTGTTAAAGAGACCTGATGCCCTCTCACAGTTGGAGGCCCAGCTCCTCTGGGAGGCATCTGTAAGCACTAACGCAGGGGTATCTGCCTCTGGTAACCCCAGCCAGGGTCTTAATGGCATCTGCAAGGCAAAGAGCTGTAGACAGCCATGGCCTTAGTGTGGTGGCAGTGCAGAACTGTCCCTTGTGTCCTGGTTATGAGGGACCTTGTGCTGCTTCACAGTGGGACAAGAAATCACTTCTGAGCTTGGCCAAGCCCTGTGAACTGTAACGCTTCTGCCATATTTCGTTGCCAAATGGACCATGGGAACACGGCGCGGGGAGGGGGGGGGTCTTACCCTGGTCCATCTGCCCCTGTCTAAAGGATTCTGGTTCAACTGCAGAAGAAGCTCTTCATCCCCTAAAGACAGGCATATGCTGGGGACCCCAGAGTTGGGTCTTGGGACCCATTCTCTCTTCCTGAGAGTTTTAATGATGCTGGGGAAAGTGCCTGCCATGCTAAAGCTCCACTGCCTTGCAAGGTCAAGCATATTCAGTGGTTGCTGGGTTTTGCAGACCACTGCCCCCCACTCATTGTAAACTCTGTTAGCCCAATTGCCCTGCTGAACAACTGCCTCAATACAGGCTTCAGATTCCCCTGGACTCAGCCAAAGCTGACCAGGTGGGACCATGGTGCTCATTAAGCATGAATGGAGGGAAGATGCCGTGGGGCCTCCATTCCTAGGAGTGGGACCACTGATGGCAGGAGTATAGACCACTTTGTGCTCAGCTCTCAGAGCTCTGCCTCCAGCAGCTGTACTGGTGGAACTAGTACCTGCCAGGTGGAGGTGCCGCCAGGTGGAGGTGCCCCCAGGTGGAGGGTACAGTGGCACCTGGGGAAAAGGCATCTGGAAAGTTTCCATGCGGCCCAGCTCCGCCAGGGTAGGGACCTGGCATGGAAGCCGGGTAGGAGCTCTACCATCTCACCACGCTGCCTCTACCCACGTGGCTTTGTGAAAGTGCTGCTGTGTCTGCCCTGGGCATCGTGTGTAGGAGCTGTGCTGCTGCACACATGGGACCAGAGCCACACAGGAAGGACTGGCCATCCTCCCTGTCCACACCGTTGACCTGGTCATTTGCGTATACATTGTGCCCAATCCAAGCTGCTGCTCTGGTCTCGGCTGGCTCAGTGATCTGATTGCGTCTTGTCTCTTGGTGCTTAACATTTGCAGGCTTGGGACAGTGCTGTGCATGGCTGACCTTCTTGATAGCTCCTCGAAGCTTTGGAACCTGGAGTGGATGAGAGAGGGTCAGGGCTTGCTCTCCACATTGGAGTTGGAAGAGAGTCACTTGGAGAGCTCTGGTGGGAGATATCTTAGTCCGCAGCTAAAGAGGGTGAGAGCCAGTCCTGGGCAGCCCCGAGGGAAACCTCAGGGACAGGGGAGGATCAGGCTGGAGAAAAACATGGGGGGAAGGAGATGCTTTGTACATATTTGGGGGTCGTAATATCTCTAAATTTTAAGAGAAAAGTGTTGATTTATAAAAGGGACAGGCAGTAGTGTTACACAGTGCATGTGACAGAAAGTTCTGGTTTCCATGATATTGACGTTATTTGGACTCTATTGTGACTGCTCTCTGGTCTACATGACACTTGTCTGGTAAGTAAGCTTAACTGCGTACCTGGGCATAACTGGAGATGGGGTTTAGTGTGGAGTGAGGACTCTGCCTTGTGTAACCTTGGGATTAACTTAACTTTAGTCATGTAAAGCTTACTGGTGACTTCTGGGAAACAGCAAAGACTCATTTTATTGGCTTCAGGTAAGTGTGTTAAGTAATGATAGGGAGTGAAAAACAACCCTGACCTGCAGGCCTACTGCTGTCAAAGTGGACAGTAGAGGAAATGGGCTGCACCCACCTCCCGGGGGCAGGACTTTGGGTGGGAAGAGGTCCCTGGGAAGGAGCCCTCTGCCTTACAGCCTGAGCTATGAGACTGAATTCTTTGCTTGGGAAGCAGTGGCTGAACAGCTCAGAGAGGAAGGCACGAGATGGGACTCCTTGGGGAAGGAAGCCAGAGTGGCCTTTTGAGCCAGCAGGAGGAGCTCCCTGGTGCAGGGGGAAGATTGGAGTGCAGTCTTCCCTAGTCCCCCAGGAGTGCACCTGGGGCTGACGTGGTATTCTCCCTTGGTTGACACAAGACAATTTGGGGTGGTGGCAGGTGGCCTCACACAAGTGCAGGAGAGGAGGTGGGAGGAACCCCAGATCCTCACTCTGAGTAACCAGTGCCCTCTGCACACAGGCAGCGACTTACCAGGCCTTCTCATTATCCTTGTAAACCCACATGTTACAGAAATTTTGGAAAATCAAGTAGAGAAAAAGGTAAAAGTTAACATTTTAGTCTCTCCTTTTAGGCTTTTCCCACCCAACCATAGTTTGTTTGCACTTTGTTTTAACATACTAACTTGTGTAAGGAGACAATTTTGTGTAGCTGTTCTCACTGAACATGTCACGGGCATTTCCTGCATGTTGATACTGATATTGAAGTGGCTGCTGGCTGTGTGCTAACGCGTCAGAGTCGGGGCAGTGCCGACCACTGGTCACTAATGCCGTTACTAAGTTTTCACTGTTACACTTTGATGAATGTCTTTGTGTATAATGCTGTTCCCAAGTCAGGTGTTTTCCTTTGGATTGACTGCCTGAGGAGGGATGACTGCATTAAAGAATATGAAAACCTTGAGACTTTGTTACACATGGACAGAATAGTTTTTGGAAATGTTTGTATCCACTTACACAGCCACCAGCAAAGATAAGTGTGTCCAGCTTGCAGCATTGGGTATTAGCAGTTGGCTAAATAATTTGCTGATTTGATCACAAAACAGTAGATTGTGTTTTAGTTTGCGTTTCTTTGATTTCAGCACAATTGAACATCTTTTCATGTTAAGCAGTTGTATTTCCTCATTGTGGATTGTCAATGTCCTTTGCTCTATCTACTGGGGTCTGATAAATTTGTATGAGTTTGTTCTATATTAAAGATATTAACCTGGCATGTGTGTCATATTTACTGCAGATGTTTCCAGGTGTTTCTTCTGTTGTATTCACAGCCATGTCATTAGCACCTCTAACAGTGCCTGACATATAGAGGGTACTCAGTAAACATTTATTGATCTTCTGGGGGTAGACATTGGGATCCCCAAATGGATAGAACAGTCCCTGCTATGTAGCTGACATCTGTCAGCACTTCTCACACCTTCTGGTCTCAGGAAGCCTTTGCACTGTGCAAGTCCTTGAGGGCCCCCAAAGCTTTTACTTACCTAGGTTTTATCAGTTGATATTTACCATGTTATAAATTAAAGCAGAAAATCTTAAAATTTATTTTGAAAATAAGAACATAATTTTGTGTTAACATAAATAGCATGTATTCCAAAACAAAATAATTTACTGAGAAGATGAATTGTATGTTTTTGCAAATTTTTAAAATATCTGTCTTAATAGAAGGCAGCTGGTGCCTCATACCTGCTTCTGTACTTAATCTTTTGCAAGATCAAGATCACATGTTTTGTAGCCTTTGAAAAATTCCACCATACATTCACGAGATGAGTGGAAGAGGCACCGAATATTTTAGCACTATTATGAAAACAATTTTATCTTACCGGGTAAAGGGCCTTACCCTGCTTTGAGAACTGCTGGTCTAGGGGAGTCAAGAACAGGTGATTGCACAAAGGTCACCATCTAGCACTTTGTGGTTTTTTTTTTTTTTTTTCCTACTTTAGACCAGGTCTTCTTTGCTTCACAATTAATAGTTATTTCTGGGATTAATTTGGCATATAGTGTGAGATGAGGCTCCAAGTGGACTTTGAACAATTTAAACAAATACCCTGAGACCATTTATGAAGTTCTTTCTCCCATTCTTGTGTGCTCTTTCCTCATCATACACAGAAATCTCACTATTGTAGGGACAACTTCTCTGCTGTTGAGTTGGTGCATTTATTTTGCCCAGTACTTCCTTCCGTGTTTTAACTGATTTGGGTTTTATAATTTCTGATCATACCTAGTAGGGTTCCCCTCATTCACATTTGTAGCTATTCTTACCAGATGAACATAAAAAAATAAATTCTAAGGTTTTCCCAAAATCCTGGTGCAGGGCTTGAGCAGACCTTTAGCAAGCTGTGTGCAGAGTGGAGGCCTGAGCTAGTGATGGAAGGGTGGCCCCTTCTCCCAGCCAGCAGAAGGCCTTACCCTGAGGCTTACACCATGTGCTGCTCTGTGACTGGTGGTCTGAAGTGTGCATAGTGCTCAGCTGGCTATCCCCACAGGCCTGATCCAAAGGGGTTTACAAGGACCTGGCCGCCCCATTGCTGACAGTGGTTCTAGTACTGCAGACCCCTCCCCATCCCACTACCTGGCCTGGGGTTGTGGCTTGCAGTGGGGCCTCCACCCTCAGTGACTATATGAGTCTTGCTCTTGCTTTGAGCTCCTATGTGCCCAACCTGGGCCCCTGAAGATGTCCTGAGGAGCTCTTTTCTCTGTCC